GTGCCAGGTGCGTGCCGGCGCGGGGGCGCTGCGGGGTGGCGCCTGGCTCGGGAGGGGAAGCTCTCGGTGCCCCGCGGGAAGGGCAGGCAGCGCCCCTGGTCCGACGGCGCGCCCTGCGCGGTGCGGTCGAGCCGGGCGCAGAGGCCCCATCTTCTCCCAGTGAAGAACCAGGCCCGCTGGGTGGCCCAGTTCCTGGCGGACATGGCCGCGCTGCGCGCGCGCACCGGGGACTCGCACTTCAGCGTCGTCCTGGTGGACTTCGAGAGCGAGGACATGGACGTGGAGCGGGCTCTGCGCGCCGCGCAGCTGCCGCGGTAATGGCGCGCCGCCGCCCCTCACCGGGACCGCGTAGCTCCCTTCGCCCAGAGGTAGATTTTCCTGCCCCCAGGAATCGTTACCTGTTCCCCCACCCCCACCCAGGTACCAGTACCTGAGGCGAACCGGAAACTTCGAGCGCTCCGCAGGGTTGCAAGCGGGAGTGGACGCGGTGGAGGTGCGTGGGCGGGTGGGGTGGTAAGGCAGGAGCCCGCCTTTCCGAGGGGAGGGCAGCTCGCCGACCTCCCTGCGACCTCCAGGACGCCAGCAGCATCGTCTTCCTCTGCGACCTGCACATCCACTTCCCCCCGAACATCCTGGACGGCATCCGCAAGCACTGCGTGGAAGGCAAGCTGGCCTTTGCGCCTGTGGTCATGCGCCTGGGCTGCGGCAGCTCGCCGGGGGACCCACATGGTAATGCCCAGAGTCCCATCAATGCCGGGTAAAAGCGAGGTGCCCTGGGTGCCTCTCCCAACCCCCAAGGCTGGCCTGGGGCCCCCTCAATGCCCCTATAATGCCCTGTAGTGTCTAGGATGCCCCCCCCCCCAGTACCCCCAGGGTCATGCACAGCCCTAGGTGCAGCACTCCAGTCAGGTGCAGGATGCCTAGGTTATGACCAACTCGGAAGGGTGACCCTGGGAGCCCCCTGATGATGGGGGCCCAGGATCCCTCCTGAGGTCCAGGGGAAGCTTCTCAGCACCTGGACACCCTTCCACCCAGGGTACTGGGAGGTGAACGGCTTCGGCCTCTTTGGGATCTACAAGTCGGACTTCGACCGCATCGGAGGCATGAACACTGAGGAGTTCCGGGACCAGTGGGGTGGCGAGGACTGGGAGCTCCTGGACAGGTGATGCCTCCCCCCCATCATGGAGACAGACTTTTGTACCTTGCTCCTCCATCACCTGGGACCTGTGGGCCTAGAGCAGGGTCAGGAACCTTTTTCCTGCCAAGGGCCATACAAAATTATCAATTTAAAAATTAGCTATGAAAAAAGTTCCTAGATTTATTGAATTTCGAGTTCCCACCTATGGTTGCCTTGGCAGGGCCAGACCAAATGATTTCAAGGGCCATATATGGCCGTGGGCCAGATGTTCCCCATCCCTGGCCTAGAGAGACCCTTGGGCCCACCCCATTCCCTGAAACCACTCCCCACCCACCCCAGGGTCTTGCAGGCCAGGGACAGCCCTTGAGCCAGCTCTGCCCCCAGATTCTATAGGCTCTGTGATGGCCCTGAGTCCCTGTCCTCCACTGGGGCCCTGCAGGAGTTGGAGCCCTGACAGCCCTAGCTCCTGGACTGGGGAACCTGCCCACTTCCATCCCACCCACGTCCAGGGTCCTGCAGGCTCAGGAAAGCCCTTACCACCCCCAGCCCCCCAGCCCTGACACCCGTCTCCACCCAGGGTCCTGCAGGCGGGGCTGGAGGTGGAGCGGCTCCGGCTGAGGCACTTCTACCACCACTACCACTCCAGGCGGGGCATGTGGGCCGCACATAGCCGAGGCCGGAAGGGGGAGGGACCCTGATGCCCGGAGACAGCCCCTGCTGCAGTCCTGAGCCTGGTTCCTGGAGACCCAGGGGCTCACCACAGGGCACAGCCCCAACCAGTGCCTGCCCACTCTGGCCCCCACCCTCCCTCCAGAGGCCGCCCAGCTCGGGTCAGGCCCGGCTCGTCCCCACACTCTGTGCAATGATTTCTGTGAAATTTTGCTGTAGCGATGACATTGTTTTCAGGATTTCCAAGAGTTCTGTCTGTTCCGTTTTTTATTCAGAATGAAATGAAATATTTTTTTTAGTTCTGACTGGTCCTCTGCCTGGCTCTCTTGGGAGGACAGAGATGGGCCTTGGCAATGGCCGGAATGTCCTGCACCCTTGGGTCGCTCTGGGCACTGTCCCTGCTCCTGATGACCTTCCTGACTTGAAGCTGTGGCGGCCATGCTGACCCCACCTTCCACCCCCAAGACCACTGTCTGCTTCCCATCCTTTCCCTTTGTGTTTCTCTGTTGGGCCCTGGGGAGAAGGGGCCTTGGACATCCTCAACACTCTGTGCCTGTGGTCATGTGACGTTCCCACCTGAGAGCAAAGCATTCGGCCACACATTCAAGTCCCCTTCATGTGAAAATAACTTGGGTATCAATCCTACCCCATTCTTCTCGGAGGTGAAAGGGCACCCTGGGCAGGGACTATGACCAAGTTTTGGGGGCTGGTATCAGGTTTGACTTTTGCTCATGTAGCTGGAAATTCAAGGTCAGGAGGGCACCAGAGAGTATTGACCAGAGGCTGGACGATGCTGTTGAGGACCAGCTCTTCCTGGGGCGCCAACTCCAGTTTCAGGCCAGATTCCGGTCACGGGAGGAAGGCTGGTGCTCCACCTGGTGCCGAGTGCCTGCCTGTATGAGGTATTTGTAGCTGCAGTAACAAAGTTCCACAAACATGCTAGAATAAAATTTTTTTTAATTTAAGCCTCACCTGAGGACATTTTTTCCATTGCTTTTCAGAGAGAGTAGAAGCGAAAGAGAGAGAGAGAGAGAGAGATGTGAATGTGAGAGAGACACATTAACTGGTTGCCTCTTGCATGTGCCCCGATCTGGGAAAGGGGCGGAGCCTGAACCAAGGTACATGCCCTGGGCCGGAATTGAAGCCCAGGACCCTTCAGTCTGTGGCCACTGAGCCAGGGCCGTGCTGGAATTTGTGATCTTACAGTTCTGAAGGTCAGAAGTCCTAAAATTGCTGTTCCTACTGGGCTACACTCCTGGAGCCTTTAGGGTGGAATCTACTTCCTTTCTAGAGCCCACCTGGATTTCTCGGCTCATGGACTCTTCCTGTGTTTTCAAAGCCAATGTCTCACCATTTTCATATCCCTTGTCCCTGCCTCTGTCTCACGTCTGCTTCCATTCTCACATCTCTGACTCTCTCCCTCTTGCCTCCCTCATATAAGGACCCCTGTGATCACGTTGGGTCCCTCCGATAACTCAGGACGATCTCCCCATCTCAACCAACATCCCCTACTTACATCTGCAAAGTCCCTCTTGCCAGGTGAGGTGAGTCCCCGGTGCCAGGACTTCGTTGAAGCTGTTGCTCTGTGCACCTGCTCATCCATGTTCAGTGGGAAGACAGCGCGTCTGCCCAGCAGCCCAAGCAATCCTCTTGAGATTTACCCAAATTATAGCCTTAGGTCATACCTCACTCAGGTTCACAGCCCACAGACTCAGAGAAGCAGGAAGGGTTTTGATAAAAGAAACTAGATGGACACTCCAGTCTGGCCCCGAGAAGATTCTAGAAATGGCCTCCTGGGCGGAATGGGAAAGAGGCATCCGTGCTGGGGCTGCCGACTAGAGCAGCCAGACATTCATAGACACTAAGTCACCTGCGAGGTGTGGGCTTCACCACAAGTCCTGCTGGCCCACAGTGGACAAGTGCCCACAGGGAGGAGCACACAGCTAACCTGCCACCTACCTATTCAGAGGACACCAGATGCCCCAGCGGGTACTGCTCACTCCTCCCTACGTGCCTAATTCGGACAGAATCGTCCCCACTTACAGATGTTGCATAACAAGAGAAGAACTAGCTCTGGACTCCAGAGTACACACTACAGGAGTGGGTGGGGGGGAGCAAATTCAATAAACGGTGTTGGGGAAACGGGACAGAAACATGCAAAAAAACACAAGGAAACTAGCCCAGGCCAACGTGGCTCCATTCGTTGGAACATCACCCTGTGTACCGTAAAGGTGGCTGGTTCAATGCCTCATCAGGGCACAGGCCCAGGTTGCGGGTTCGGGGCTCCTACGGTCCTTTTCTCTCTCACATCGATGTTTCTCTCTCTCCCTCTCCCTTCCTCTCTCTCTGAAATCAACAAGAACATATCCTTGGGTGAGGGTTAAGAAGGGAAAAAAAGGAAACAGTCACTTTCTTACACCTTGTCCAAGAGTAACCTGAAAATGGATTAAAGACTTATAGGTAAGACCTGAGACCATAAAATTCCTAGAATAAAACAGGCAGTAAATGCTTCAACGTCAGTCTTAGCAAAATTTCTTTTTTGGATATGTCTCCTGGGGCAAGGGAAACAAACTAAATAAACGGGACTACATCAAACTAAAAAACTTTGCACAGCAAAGGAAACCATCAACAAAACAGAATGACAATCTACTGAATGGGAGAAGACATTTGCCAATGATACACCCTGTAAAGAGTTAATATCCAAAATTTATAAGAAACTCCTACAACCTAACACACACAAAAAAAATCTGATGTAAAAATGCGTGGAGGCCCTGAATACACATTTCTCCCAAGAAAAGTCTCAGTGAAAAGATGCTCAATGTCACTAAACATCAAGGAAATGAACATTAAAACCACAATGAGAGCCCAGCCGGGCATGGCTCAGCAGCTGAGCGTCGACCTAGGATCCAGACGATCCGGGTTCAATTCCCAGTCAGGGCACATGCCCCGGTTGCGGGCTTGATCCCCAGTTGGGGGCGTGCAGGAGGCAGCTAATCAATGACTCTCTCATCATTGATGTTTCGATCTCTCTCTCTCCCGCTCTCTGAAATCAATAAAGATATAAATAAATAAATAAATAAATAAATAAATAAATAAATAAATAAATAATAAAACCACAATGAGAGGCCATGGCCAGGTGGCCCAGTTGGTTGGAGCCAAAAGGTTGCAGGTTCGAATCCCAGTCAGGGCACATGCCTGGGTTTTGGGTTAGATTCCCAGTTGGGGCAAGTACTGGAAGCAACTGATCAATGTTTCTCTCTCTCCCTTCCTCTGTCTCTAAAATCAATAAAAATATGTTCTCAGGTGAGAATTAAAAACAAACACACAATGAGATATTACCTCACACCTGTCGGAATGGGTATCATCAGAAAGACAAGAAACAGCCAGTGCTGGCGAGGATGTGGGGAATGTGCACTGCTGGTGGGAAGGTAAGCTGATGCAGCCCCTGTGGAAAACAGTATGGAGGGTCCTCAAAAAATTAAAAATAGAGCTACCATAGTTGAAAACCCAGCTGGGAACAAAAGACAGGTCTGAGACGAGCACACAAAACTAAATGGAAGAGAAGAGCTAAAAGTGAACCTTGAGAAGACAGTAGGCGACGGAGCCCAGAGAAGCTAGAAGACAGTAGGCGATGGAGCTCGGAGAAGCTAGAAGATGAGAGAAAGAATGAGAGAAAAACATAGGTTAGTGATACAGCAGAAGAAAACTTTTCCAAAATAAATACAGGCCAGAATGTACAGTTTGAAACACTGATGCCAAAAAATTGCCCCAAACACGTGCACATGAAGTCACTGAGCTCCAGAGATAACCCTGTGGGTGGCGGGCAGTGTGGATTATGTAGGCCGCCCCCACCTGGGTCAGGCCGGCTCTAATCCCCCACCGTAAGGAGTCAGCAAAACATCTGCCAAGTCCTGAGGGAGAGAAAGTACCAGCCCAAAGTTATACCCTGATGTCCTTCAAGCCAAAGGCAACTGAGAGTCTCCAAGCCCTGGCGCCCAGGAGCTGACCACTATGCCCACAAGCAAGGGGCTCCGATGAGCCAGGGTGCTGGGAAAGGGTCCATGGGAGCAGGAGCCGGTTTAAAATGAGACTAAAGTTAAACCACCAGGAGATGGTGAGCAAATCCATCAGCCCCCATGGAGGAGGTGGCCCCGACCTAGCTGGGGGACCCCAGGGACTCTGCCAAGGCCCCCATCCCACCAGCCAGCGCTGGCCCCCAAGACCACTCCTGTCCTGCTGTTGCTCAGGGTAAGAAATTTCTCTACACCCCCCGGCTTGTATTATAACTTCTAGGAACTTATTTAGCCTCAAGGAGCCTCGGTTTCTCCATCTGTGAAAAGGAGGGATCACACTTTGCCCTCTTGGGGTGCCTATAAGGATTAAGGACAGATGTGACAAATTTTTTAGCACCCTGCCTGGTACATGGGCAACCCCTGATAAACAGTGCCTGTGAATCCTGAACTCTGACCGAGGTGGCCTCATCTTTCACTCCTCCAGGGATGGGGAACTCACTCCGGAGAAGGGGAGGCAGCTGTTTGTCTCCAAGCTCACTGCCCCCACTGGGTCCAGCCACCACCTCCCCACCGGTCTCTCTGCTTCCTTTAATTCACTCTCCCTACAGAGAAAGATGCTCTTTTGAAACAAATCTGATAGCCACTCCCCTGCTGAAAAGCACCAAAGGATTCCCATTGCTCCTCCTACCGTCTGTCTGGCCTTGGCTCCAGCCACCCTATTCCATTTTGGGTCCTCCAAGTGCAAACCTGGTTCCTTTTTGGAGCCCTTGCAAGGCTCCTCCCTCTGCCTAGAAAGCAGTTAAAGGGTCTCAGGCACCACTGCTTGTGGGCCACTGTGTTTGTTTTTTGTCTGTGCCCCACCTGACCCCAACAGACCCCAGCAGGAGGGCTCCTGTGAGAAGCCGCGTCTGTCTGGGCCCATACACCTTTCCCAAGAAGTGCTGGTGCATGGGAGGAGCTCAGAACCAGGGACACGTGGATGGGTGAGGGGTGGGAGTGTGATGAAAGGTGCCACCCCAATCTCTGGTCCAACAGGGACCGGTATCCCTCAGGTACCTTCCACACTAAAGGCACAAGGCAGGAGGTGGGGGCACAGAGGATGCCAGGTCCCTTGTGTTTCACCCAGGGTCACCGAGGATTAGGGGAGGGGCCCAGGGAGAAAATCCAGGTAGTTCTCCTGGAGGAGGCGGGATCTGGGCTGGCCTTGGAGGGAGCCCAGACTGCGGGACGTTGGAAGATTTGTGAGCGTGGGCACAGCACAAAGCATCTGGGCTGGAGCTGGAGCCCAGAGG